ATTCATGTGCGAAGATATTACCAAATCTGTTCGTCCAAATCTTTCTTTAATTAAACTTATAGAAGCGTCATAATTTTCATTAGATAGTGCAAACCCGGATACTGCACTTAAAGCAGGTCCTGCGAGTAAGGATTTAAGATAGGTAAACTTCTCGACCTTTGTTAACTCATTATTATTACCAATAGCATTTTCAAAAGAATTATAAAATTCCAAAAATAAACTAGGATCACCATAATATTTAGGAATTGAAATTTTAGGTAACCGAATGTTAGTTTTGTTTTCGACCTTTACGGCAGCAGTATGGTTACCAGGCGATTCATTTTCAATGTTCACTATCTGAGAATTTAAATTAAGTTTCTTTTTAGCCCTAAAATACATAAACTCATTTTTTCATCATACTCTAACACAGTATTACATTTTTTCTCAATTTCAGACTCATCCCCTTTAAAACAATCCAATATTTTTTCATTAATTTCTTTCAACGCAGACTATGTTTAGAAGTAAGTAAAAACACATTTTCTTCTACCATATTCTTATCCCAAATGTCTTTTTAATTTCAGGTTCTACAACATTTATTATTTTAGAAATAGCTTGTCTCATGACTTTTTCTAGTAGCTTTCAATTTAATAATATCGTCTGCCATAATAACAACAAAAGTAATTTTATTCTCTTACCTGGTGCAGGCTTCAAATGGTTTAATCCTAATTTAGTAACTCACTTTCCTGGTGAAGCACATACACAAGTATTCTGAACGTTAATCCTGCCACGTTCAGTGCAAAGGAATAAATTTTCAGTAACACGAAAAACACCGCATTCTAAATCAAAAAAACTGTTCGTGCGCAAGTGTTGGGCTCCAAAAATATAAAATATTACCTCTTTAGAGATTAAAATATATTTCCACATAAATTTTCTTACAGTCTTTTCTGAGAATTTTGAATATTCCGAGACAATTGCATGGGAAAAACGCTTACTATAAAAAAATTAAAAAGAAGGCATTTTTAATTAATTGCATAGCTAATTTTGCTCTTGCTAAGAGCTGTTTCGTTAATTATGCTTTATAGCAATATGCCTTATTTATCAGATTCATAATATTGTATAAGTTGCCAAAATGAAACTTTATAATATGACAGCGAAAAATAGAATGTTTTATTTAATGTTATGTATTTTTATATAATTTCAATATATTACCATTATTTTTAATGAAATTTATCAATGTTATGATGCTTTAAAAAACTGGTCAAAAAATTGTCAGATCTCGGAATTAAAAATTCTCTATAGAAACTGATCCTAAAATCGCCAAAATGTTGACAAGTCGCCAAATTTAGAGCCGTTTAATAAAAGAATTTACATCCCCAAAAGCGAAAAGTTGTTTAAGAGTTCTTTATTAGAAAAAAAGAATTTCGAAATGCTTATGTTTCACTTCTTGCTTAGAAACTCGAGTATCCCATCATTTTTATTAGAAATAGAAACAAATTATAACTCATGAACACATTCAAAAGATAACCATATATGTCAGTGAATCGCCAAAAATATTCCTCCAAAATGCTAATTCTCACTCAAAATGGCAATCATAAAAACAGACAGAAATTTCAGATGATTAAAATTAAGGACCTTTTGCTGATTTTGGGCAAAGTTAAGGACTTTTAAGGACCAAAAGTCAATTCCAAAAAATTTAAGGACTTTTAAGGACTCTTAAGGACCGTACGAACCCTGTACCTCGGGGCTTTGTCGTAGTTACCTAAACCAAACCTTCCTGATGGCACTCTTTCTTTACGCAGATAGACCTCGAGTATTTTGCAATGATAACCTAAACAAGCAGGCAAGCATAAAAAAAGAAGCTGGCTAAAGAAGCTAATCAATCATATTTTTTCGTCACACTTTAGGTATTTGTATCCGCAAATTTTCATTTTTACTTTTAAATCAGATTGGGACACTTCTGTTGTTGCCGAAGAAAAATCTTTCAATGCTTTTGAAAAACGTTTAGTCTCTTTAAATTAAAGAACTAGTTACATAATGAAGGTTATAATTCACTGAAGACTGGCATACTTTACTTTTCAAGTATTCGAAACAAGAAACATTTACGATATCACTCACACGTTTCCAACACAGATATATTAATTTATTTCAGTTACAGATTTTCTATTAAACTGCCATTTAGAACAGGTGTTCAAGAAGATAGAAAACGGCAACATGTGTTCTGATTTTCCACAACAATGTTTTCGAACTGCAATAAAATCATAATATTTAAAACTGGCTTGTCAATTTTACTTGTCGATCATTCGGTATGTTCAACAGATGTCGAAGTCACTTAAATTTAATAAGTAACAAGAAACGTTATTTTGCAGGTATAGAACACATATCTCTATGGTTGCAATTTCTGATAAGAATTTGCTGATGCTGTTTCTTTGCTTGTCCTGAAGCTTTGAATTTTAGCAAAGTGTAGTTCACATTTTCGACGTGTTAGGGTTATTTGACTTTTTTTATATATTTCTTTATAGCTTTTATTCGAATGATTTGAAACTTTCTTTCTGCCTTTTATGTCTGTTTACATACAGCAGTGGACACAGGCTCGTTTCCCATTAACGGTTTTTGGCAGTCAACAGTTATGAAACCATCATAAAATTCCATTCAATAAGACTGATTGCTAAATGTATATGTAACATTACTGTACATGAAATTAGGGGATATAAAAATTGTCGACGCGAAAATCACCTGTTGAAATCGGTCTCAGGAAATAGGAAACCCTCGGATTTCCTTCCCCTTGGGATGATTTTCGTAAATAAACTTCATCATGGTTAGGTGACGTTATGTTGTCTGAATGTGATAAAGCACGCAAAGTCTATTTGTTTAAAGGAAGGGATACTTACAAAGAGAATTTTCTAAGGAAAATTTGCTGAGAAAAAAACACGAAAACCAACTTGCAGGCAGTCCGTTCGCCTGGGCGCCAAATGAACTGGCGAGTTTACTCCTTCATCAAGAACTTCCTAAGGGAAACTGATTAATATTTGTGTTACTCATGGACATAAACCATGGAAATGACCCTGCAGGTAACATATTCTCTAAGTTTCAAACCGGCTCGAACTATCAGTGTTCAGCGATCTTATTTACTACGGCAGTGCTGAGTGGAATGACATTATTTAATGCATGGCTTTCATAAACTCCAGACGATATAATATTATTAGAATTGAAGTACATTAGACATTCAGATTACTTTTGTGTTGAGTTCAGATCTGTTTCGTATTGGGTTCGATAAACGCAATCCTTAATCTTCACTTTTTTACTTCCTTGTACGAAGTAAGGGAAGTATTGCAATCACGAAAATTTCCGGATATCATATTTCAAAGAAAATATACATTTTGACCGCTATCGAATTCAATTTTAACAGTTATTTTCTATGTCATCTGTACGTAAGAACAGAATAAAAGGCTTTTTGTCTCCAAATGAATTAGAAAACTGATTTAAAATGAATTCAGAAGAGATCTTTTCGTGGCGTCTGTGTACGTATATATGCATGAATGTATGTCGCATAACTCAAAAACAAATAGCCTCAGAACTGTGAAATTGTGTATATAGCACTGCTATAATATGTAGTTGTGCACCTCTCTTTTTGGTTGCAATCGACCGCACTCAGAACTATATATATATACACCACTGAGTTACTCAGCTCAGTGAGCTCAGTTTTTTTTATTCTTATATATTGGTAAATTGTGCATTTTTTTTTGTTTGTTTTAAAAATGATTGAATTATGCTGTTTTTATCTTCCGGTTAATCTTTGTGTATCTTTAGTTAATCTGCATGCACTAGCTTACTATCACAACCGAATAGTTATGACACAATGATGCATGTGGATGATTTTTTACGTGGCAGCCTGGAATGTGGGCGTACTCAGATGGAAGTATCCGAGGAACTAGGAATAGCTCTAAGTGTCATCTCTAGGCTTTGGTAACGATTCTAAAAATAATGGAAATGTCAGTAGATGTTGCAGTACAGGTCGCCTCCGAGTTACGACGCCGAATGATGGCCGGTGTTTGGCGGTAGTTGCCAAAAGAAGGAGACGGAGCGCAGCATCAGACCTGTCTCGTCAGCTATCTTCAGCCACGGGTACGACAGTTTCAAGGCATACCGTGTACAGACGTTTGGAACAGATTGGTCTATATGCCCGCAGGCCTGTCAAATGTGTTCCGCTCACTGTCGCCAATCATTAGCCTGGAGTAGAGAATATGCAATGTGGACATTGTTACAGTGGGTGTGTGTCATGTTCCCGACGAGTGCAGGTTTATCTTTAGCTTGCAGTCTGATTCCCGTCGGACTTTCATATGGAGAACTCCAGGTACTTGCTACCACCAAGATAATATCATCGAACGACACTGTTACGGTGTTGAAGGATTGCTCGTTTGAGGTGAATTAATTATACTGGGCTCCTGAACAGATCTGAATATTCAGATTGGAACCGTGACAGGCCACATTTATCGGAACATTATTCTTAAACAATATGTACTTTTATTTAGGGGTGCCGTCGGAGCAGAATTTGTGTTTATGGATCACAGCGCCTGTTCCCACGTGTAAACATTGAAAGGTGTAGAGACATTAGGTTAATTGGAAAAGCTAGAGAGATGATAAATGAGCAAGCGCCTTGGCTGGAAATCGAAACACGGACTTCTCAATTACTAGGTGGTGCACGGAGTGTATTTCATTGTCTGGGACACATACAGTGTGTATTATCCATCATACCAATCATGTAATGTGAAGTTTTTGTAAGGAATATATTTTTTGTTAATTGCTCCCGGAACTCGCAGTTTCTTTTGAGTGGTCTCATACATACACCATCTTTTTTTTTTCTTATATTTTTCTTAATAAATGGGCTTTATGAATAAGTCAGGTTTGTTTTGTTTCTGAATCTTTATTTGCTAGAGCTGGCATTATCCTTAATTTATGGACATGAGTGTATTTAAAACAACTTCATTTCATTGGCATTATGAAAATAACATGCACCTAAGAGATTATTTGAAAATAAAACTTTAATAAAATATTCATGAACAAGTGTTTAAAAATTTCATGAATAAACAACAATTGTATTCAGTGTATTATAACATTCATGATATAAATTTTTAAATGCTGCATATTTTCCTTTCTCGTGTGTTGCCTTGACTGGATACCGTCACTTGGAAACTGACGCTATTCTCACAGTTCGGAAGACTTATCTCCTCCGTCGCCTACCTTCCAGTACTGGATACCAAAAGAAGCATAACGAGTCTAGCTGCTATAAAGGCAAAGAGCCTCTTCTCTTCTTTTCACCATCCAGTATCTCCTGCAAAGGACACAATTCATGCATTATTTATTCTAAGGCACGGTATGTAAATCTGTAATTGCTCCTGGAAATATTGCTTAGGCAGTAAAGACCCAGATAATACTGCAGTATCACAGTATCATGAATTCCATCTACCAAGTTTTTAATGCATAGAAGTATAATCATCAGCAATACTGGTCGAAATCCATTTCGCAGATTAAGCTTCCCAAATTATTTAATTTTCATTACTAATTACCATTCAGACTACTAATTACATTCTAGAGTTCCTCACTCTTATTCTGTCTAAATTAAATGTCGACTAACCTTGTAAACTGTAAAGAAATTAATCCCTCATTTCAGATAGCAGTAATCTTAAATTCAAAAAAGGTTAATTACCCTTTATTCCATAATAAATATTTCCTTTATTCCAAAATAAGAGGAACAGTCGTCCCCTTTCTTCGGGCTTACAACAAAGCCTATACTTGGACTTGAAAATAAGAAATAAAAACTAACATTAACTAAATAAGATTTAGTCGAAGCTAAGACAAATATAACGGAGTTGGCCCTTAATCTAAACTAGTCAGCGGACTATCAAAAGGCACATAATAATGAGTCCAAGCGTCACAGCAGTTAGGGAGACTTAGACCAAAGGCAAACGCTCTCTACTCAGGATTCCTAGCTCTCTCTTTTGAAGCAAGTTGGATTTTCTTTTAATATTATTTCTTACTCATTTGCATTCAAAGGGATTCTAAAAAAATCATTCTCGTAGGCAGTCGTAAGTTTAAACGAGGCAAAAAAAGGAAAGGTTAACTAAACTAAAATAACTCTCATAAAATTAATTAAAATATACTTTACAACATGTAACTCTATATGTTTTTCACCCTTTTAAACATGCGAAAAAATACATTCTTGCAATTAAATTAAGTTTCTGACGCACTATTAAAATGGTTTTTAACTTTTCAGCGTTAAAGTTTAGAAGTATTATCAGTTTGCAATAGGCATAAAATAAGATAATAAAATAAATGCCTTTAAAATAGCAATGAGAGCCATAAGGATATAATTTCGAAGGAATTAATTCTTCCCTGCTACTTGAATTTGGACAGTTAATTTAGGCAATAGTAATAAAATTAAAATTGTATGCACGTATAAAATAATAGCTAATTGTAAATATAGTATAGTGGGTTATGTTTTTTAAATTCTCCAACTAGTAAATACCAGAAATAAAAAATGATAAAAAATTTTTAATTATTTTGTGCTTATGAAAACAAAAATGTGTCAACTTTCCCATGAAACGCAAATTCCATAAAACAAAATGATTTCTAAACAGAAATATGAATTTCATTAGAAATTTAGACAATTAAATTCTAAGAAGTCAATTTCAGTTAGGCAATATCTTATTCCCCCTGCATTTAAATACTTACCCAGAAAAATCTTACTCATATAATAAAGAATTAGATAAAAATTATGAAAGTCATTAAGCAAAAAATACAAAATAAATTGAACTAACAATAAGCATAATTTTTAAATTACATCTTAGAATTTTAAAGCAGATTGCTGTGGGAGATATATAATTAAAAAAAAACCTTCTTCATTATCTTTTTGGGAGATACATACAAATGCACACTACCGTTTTGAGGAACATTTACGAAACAAATAATTTTTTTCTTGTTATAATAAAAAAAATTACATACGGTAATGAATATATTCGTAAATTTTACTTACATTACCATACGCATTTTTCCCCGCCTTTCATTTAAACTTATTTCCTCGAATTTCATTAGAGATCTATTTCCTATTCGATTAATTCAATTTTCAGTTAGCGACAAGGCAAAAATACATAAAACTCAAAATATCTATATTACGAATTGAAACATATAAAGAAAAACATAAAACACCAAATACAGTTAAAACAATTATTTTTTTTACAATTAAAATTACAGTTTCTACGCAAAAAACAAGCAATTCGACCAGCGGGCAAGGAGACACATTTTTCGTTGTACAAAGCTGAAAGTTTACTTTCGGTCCCACATGGCAAAAAGACACAGAAGGCGTAGAAACTGACTTAATTTGTTGTGGACGCTACGCTGAATCAATATATGGGATAATTTAATAACTTAAAAGATAATTGCAGAACGGATTAAGCATAATTTAATTCGCAATAATAAAAGTAGACGCTACTTTGTTGTTGCAAGCCTTAGTCTCTCTATATTGTCAACAAATCCATTATTCTGCTAAGTTTCAAATGTAAACAAAAATAGCTGCTATGCTAAAAACGTTAGGCTTAGCCGCACTTAAACAACATTTAAATTGTTGGTAACTCTACAACTATAACATGCAGGTTAACTAAAGGCATAAAAACCTTAACTGGAGGATAAGAACAACGCATTTAAATCATTTTTAAAGCGAAAAATTTACAATTTACAAACCGATAAGAACAAAGAAACTGAGCTCACTGAGCCGAGTAACAGAGTGGATGTATATATACTTGTATATGGTAAAATATATTATCGTTAAATCTATTATAAATTATTATGAATTATTGGTTTATATATATACATACATATAATTTATATACTTTTGGTGCGGGCGATTGCAACAAAAATAGGAGGTGCACATCTACATGTTTTGCAGTCCTATATACAAAATTTCAACGTTTGAAGGCTACTTGTTTTGGAGTCATGCGAAATACATACATACGTGCGTATAAACATCACGAAAAAAATCTCTTCTGAATCAATTTTAAGTCAGTTTTATGATTCGTTTGGAGAAAAAGTCTTTTATTCTGTCCTTACGTACATATGCCACGCGAAAACATCGTTAAATTGCATTCGATAGCGATTAAAATGGATATTTTCGTTGAAATGTGATACTCGAAATTATTCACGATTACAATATTTCTTTTTTATTTCATACAAGCAAGTAAAAATCTAAATAAATCAAATTAATTAATTGAGAGAAAAATTAAAAGAATTAAAAATTTGATAAAAGTATCATTTAAAAGTTTAAGAAAATCAAAACATTCCTATGATATATTAAGAATATTTTTATTACTAAATTTTGTTTCAGCCTTCTTTTCTTAATGTTTTCAAGACTCTTAATCACACTTGATTGGTAAACTTAAAAATAATTATTCTTCAAACAGAAAAATTTAATCATATATAATCTTACGTTTTTGGACGTAACTTTGACGATAAATCCTTATACCAATTCACATTTCTGCTCCTTAGATTATGTTTGCGTACTTCTCAAATTAAGTGAAAAACATGGTTTACAGTCAGTTCTTGATCTAGGATATGGCTGGACAAAGAATTAAAGCCATTTTTGCTTCCTCGTAAGAAGAACAGGAAGTATTGTAAAAGCGAAAATATTCGGATATAATACTCCAACAGACATACCCATTTTGATGGTTCCTGAGTCCATTTGGATGATTATTTATGTGGCATCTGTATCTACGGACAAAATAAAGGATTGTTTTCTCTTAAAAGGGATTGTAAAATGGATTCAAAAGAAATTTCTGTCATGCCGTCTGTACTTACTTACGTACCGTATATATGTGTACATGCATAACTCATATGCATCTCGCAAACGATTAGCCGTAGAACGTTGAAATTTTGTGTAATGGGACTATTATAACATTTAGTTCTGCATCTTCATTTTTTTAAATCGTCAGACGTATATGTATGTATATGTATACCCAGTCATTAATCCGGCATTTATTTTCGCAATCGTTGGCCATATACTACATAGTAGTTATATAATATCAATTACAGAAGTGTGTTAAATATCAAAAATCTTTGCAATGCCAAATTTTTAAAACAAATTTAATTTTCGACACATAGCGAAGTCTAACTTTTAATGCCGTCTTCTGGTTCCTATACTTATATATCTGAAAGTTGTACACTCTTTGTGAAAAAAAATACGTTTAGTACTAAACGTTCACCAAAAAGCAGAGTTACTAAGAACTAAAAGGATGTATTATTCATGTTAAAGTGCTGTGAAATTTGACTCCATATGTGCTTAGATAATTGTTATAGGTAAATGCATATGCCTGAAATATATGAAAAAAAAAATATTTTAGCGTTACTGTAGAGAATAAAATATCTGTTTCTGACGTATAATCTTGCAAATTTAGAAAGGAATTCAAAATTACTATTAAGTAAATGTGAAAAAAAAATATTTTAGTGAAGTTCTTCATACCTCAATTACTATAGAATATAGCGATACAAGACATTAAAAAATTGAGTTATTCTCATGAAAACTTTTACTTTAAAAGAAAATCTATAGCTTTACCCTTCAGCTTTTACGCTTTATATTTACCTGGGGCCTACCAGCGGCTGAGCTGTAAAGTCGCTGAACACTAGTAGTTCGGTCCGAGGTTCGAATCTCGAAAACGAGGTGGCTGCATGGGAGTTTTCGTGCTTTTCCCCGTGTGTAACGTATATAGGTGCCAGTTTCCTTTAGAATGTTTTCCACAAAGACATCCTCTCCCCTTCGGCAGGTAGCCCTCCAACTTTTGACGCAATCTCATAAACCTAACCAATTAGATCTAATGAAAATGTGTTTGAGTGAAATACAGTTTTGCTGGAGTTTTTTATGAACGTTTGATGAACTTGTATGGAAAAGCATAGCCCAAATCTTCTAAAACATTACTTCAGATTTCAAATAAAATCATCTCTAATTTAAATTTTTGAAAAAGAAACCTGCTGCACTTTAAAATATTTGAATCATACTTTAAATGCAAACGCATTTTCTATTTTCTGTATCTATTGTTTAATCTTTGATAGTTCTTTCTTTGAAATCTAATCGTTTTGCTTTTTCATCAATCAAACTTTCCTTTTATGTGTTTTAAATTGTAAATTTCTTTACATTCATACGTCAGTTAAAACAAACGTTCAGAATAGACATATTGAAAACAGACGTCAATCGGATTTTAGATAATATTGCTCACAATATTTCCAAATCTGCTGTTAGTTTTAGCATTTTAAATTTGCTTATCAATTTGAGATTTCGGTTGCACTCAGTATACTATTATAACAGATGAGATCTATTTAAATGTCACAGAAGAAAATAATCAACAAGAAAGGCTACTATATAAAATGGTCCCAGACTTCTTACCATGATTATTTGTTTAGCACTAAGCAGTATTTTCAAGGTAAGTAATACTTCATTTAATGTTAATTTTGACTTCCGAAATATTATAATCGCAAAAAATTTCGTGTATCATATTTCAACGAAAATATCCATTTTGACCGCTATCGAATGGTATTTAACGATGTTTTTGCGTGACATCTGTACGTAAGAACAAACTAAAGGACTCTTTTTCCCAAAAAACATTATAAAACTGATTTAAAATGAATTCTGAAGAGATTTTTTTTTCGTGGCTTCTGGACGTACGTATCTCGCATAACGCAAAAATGAGTAGCCTCAGAACGTTGAAATTTTCTATATAGGACAGCTATAACATGTAGATGTGCACCTCCCATTTTGGTTGCAATCGGCCAAACCAAAAATATATAAATATATATGCATTTAGTCCATTCTGTTACTCGGCTCAGTGAACTGAGTTTCTTTATTCTTATATGTTTGTAAATTGTGCAGTTTTTGCTTTAAAAATGATTGAAAATTTTTCTGGGTAAGATTTTTAGGCCTTTATTTAACCTGCATGCAATAATTGTGGAATTATCAACAACTTAAAAGTTTTCTAAGTGCGGCTAAGCCTAATTTTTGAGTACCATAGCAGCCATGTTTGTTTACATTTGAAGCTTAGCAGAATAGTGGATTTGTTGCCAATCTACAGAAACTAATCATCGCAACAAGAGAGTAACGTCTTTTATTATTGCGAATTAAATTATGCTTAATTCATTTTGGAATTATCATTTAAGTTATTAGCTTGTTTTGCGTTGTTAAACTGTAATTTTTGTTTAAATTGTTTTAACTTTACTTTGTGTTTTATGTTTTTCTATATCTTTCAAATTCTAATGAAAATATTTTGAATTTTTATGTATTTTTGCCTTGCCGCGAAGTGAGAACTGAATTAATTAGCTGCGCATGCGAATTAAGTAAGTTGCGCTGAATCGTCTGCGAAAAACTATTTCTTTTTTATTTGTTTAATTTCTTTTATATACATTTTTAATAGATTTATTATAATACTTGAATAGAACTTATGGGAATTCTCCAGATGATATAATTTTTGTGCACTCTGAGTTATAAAATGAATGAGATGTAATATTGGTAAGTGAAAGTAGCGCCGAAAGTTCGCTATGGTAAATAAATATGGTGAACTTTAAAGAGTGTCTTTATTTTATTGTGGTTTATGCGCTATCGACGAAGTAGATTACATTCAAAATTCGTTAATTGTGAATTCAATATGTTTAAATGAAATGCTGGAAAACTGCACATAATTTAATATTCCGTACAAGGAAGTCATGTGGTGCATACATCAGACATTTTACTTACGAATGAAATGTCGAACTTCTTGAAAAGGTAAGTGCAAGATTCGATGTTTCTTCCTGTAACTATTTTTAAGTTTATTCAGATACTTTGTAGAGACATTAGGATATTTTGAAAGGCAGAGAGATGAAAAATTAGTAATCGCCTTCGCCGGGAATCGACCTCTGGAATACCGGCCCAGCGTGCAGAACTCCTACACCACGAAGGACGCTAGGAAAGTGGGAGAAACACCTTATATACTACCCTTTCTAAAGGGTGACTAGGGTTTTAGGGGACCCAGTCGCCAAATCCTGGGTGTGGAGAATCATCATCCACAACCCTTTTAGTTCGGGCGCCACTTGTAGAGACATTAGGATATTTTGGAAGCCGGAGAGATGAAAAATTAGCAACCGCCTTCGTCAGGAATCGAACCACGGACCTCTGAAATACCTGCCCAGCGTGTAGAACCATTATACCACGAAGGACGCTAGGAAAGTGGGAGAAACACCTTATAGCTTCACCATATCGTTTTTCTGTTTGTCGTAATTGATGTTATATATCGTTAGACCCGATACCCAAATCTTATAAAGGTATGGATGATTGTGCTTTTCAATAAAAAGGACGCTTACATATATAAATCCAGAACTCGGTAGGTCAATAGTATGAAAAGAGGAGTACGAAATGCTAGAATTTCATCTTACGAGTATTTTCTATTAAAACTAAGGCGACGTTTAAGAAGAGATTCTTTGCTTGGTTCTGCCTAAATTAAATAATCACGGTCATAATCTTGTTCATTATAAATACATATATAGGAACTTTAAATGTTTTGTTTGTTAGCTAACTACATTGATTAATAAAAGATGAATTGATTTTTTTCGGAAGCAAGAAAGATGAAAAAGGAGCAAACGCCTTCGTCGGGAATCGAAGCACGGAATTCTCAATTACGCGCTGAACGTGCAGATCACCTCACCACGAACGCATGTCAAGAAGGCGGGAGAAATACCTTATAACTAATTTGTAAAACTACGAATTTAATTTTTCCCGTTATCAAAGACATTGTTATAAAAATTTGGCCTGAGGGTGAAGTTCTGAACGTAGCCGTTATTCTAAATTTAAAATTAGTGATTTACTGATAAACTGAATTGAAATTCGTATTTGATTATGGATGTTATATTTGATCACATCGGATCTTCTATCGCAAACTTAACTGTTCGCATGGAAATATTAAGGATTTGATTCTCATTACATCGATTTCTTCTCTAATGTAAAATTTTTCATGTCAAAATTATTTCATGTATCTGTAGTTCAAAAAAGGTCAGACTGAAAGAAGATATCGACAATGAGAAAATATGATACATTTTCATGTACCTGTAATAAATATATTTACACTTTCCTGTTTATTTTTAAATTTTTCTGTAACATTGTGTTTAGATTTCTCTAGTTGTCTATATTTTCCTAAAAATACTTTCAAGCTAAAATGTCACTGAACATTAATGATCTGTAATCTCAGCCAGAGATAATGTATGAAGACTGCTGCTTCTTACATCTGGTAACTATACAAATGGTAATCAGAACCTAATTTAACGTAGCTCATCAGTCTTTAGTCATAAATAACGTCCACTAGCGGCCGAGCAGTAACGTCACTGAACACTAGAAGTTTGATCTGGATTTGAGTTTTCCCACTTGTAACGTGACTACGAGCCATTGTTTCTTTAAAAAGTCTTCCAAGAAGGCATCCCTTCTCATACAGAGACAGGCCTCTTTTGTTTAATTAACCGTAGTCGTAAATAACAAATTGTTTTCCCATCCAAAGTCCTTCATGAAAGTTAAAATTGTCTATCTTTATTTGAGCATCTAATTGTGTCATTTGAAATCTTGATATAGACAAAGAATCGGAAATTCTTATTTCCTTTTTCGAAATTTTTTGCATCACCCAGATCAACATCATATTTTTTCCACCTTCGTATAATGCTTGTGACGATTTTATAAAAAGCTATTTACATTTCTTTTTTACTAACAACTATTTTTCATAAATATTTACTCCTACGTGCTGAGAATTTTATGTCCCAACCGTTTCGAAATTTGGAAATAAACACATCTTCATAACAGTAAAATATTCATAATCAAATATCGTTCGGACCTTTTTATTTGATAACATTTTCGTTAAAACGGAAGTATTTTGCTTAGGGTAAAAAATGCATCATACGATTTCATGTACTTTCAGTACTTTATTTTATCAACATCAAAAAGCCATTTAATCAAATACGATACTATTTGCGAATGATTTTCATACCATGCCAAGGAAGTTTCTCAGTAGTTCGTTTTAGACGAGAAATCAGAAAAATAAAACGAATTTTTCCTTAAGGAAACGCACCTTGTCCTCATATTTCAATAATAAAATGTTCATACTTCACATTCACACAACTAAAGGAATTTCGATACAAACATATAAATGACACATTAGTTTGAAATGGAATTACACGATTTGAACTCTTTGAAAAATCTCATTTTAATTTCAGAACAATTATTCAAAACATGTATTGAAGTAACTCTTTTTGTGAACTGTTATAATAATTTTAAAAAATACAGTATTTTTAATCAATGCGCACAGCTAAAACAAAAGTTATAGCAAATTTCTCTGTTTCTACAGTCATTGTAAGATACTTATTTAAGTATTTATTCTACGCTAAAAGAAATTCTTTATAAATTAGGTGATGCTGAATTCATTAAAAGTTATTCATGGGTTCCGTGCAAATTACATTTACTTTTGCAGAAGAAATTTTGTTTCGCAAATTTTTCTCATACACAAAGGTTTGCGTTGAAGGCTTTCCAGTATTTTCCAGTTTCTGCACGAAAACCGCCCTCAGGTCGGCAGATGGTACGGCTGGATTTGATGTTTTTATTTATGACCCTCCCATTGTAATATCTTTCTCTAACGATCGCTGTTTCCCCACTACCAATTAAGCGCGAAAGGAGGTCGGAGGGAAAGACAGTACAGAATATTCCGTCCTCAACGATTTCGAGGCGGAAAATGTAATGCAGAAAAAATCGTTTGAAACGCTTTCGGATCCATCAAAAGCTGGCAAAATATTCCGTCGGTGACGATTTGGAAAGACATCATTCAATACGGAAAAATCCGTGGGAGGGATATAAAGGAATACGGAATACTATATACGGAAATAAGCTCCTTTTTAACTATTGTAGAATTTCGGCTTACTGTTGAAGTGCTATATTTCAAAAATTTCGAACAACTGAATATTTTAAGAAACAATCTGTAAGTAAATAAAACTTAATTTAAAACGTTCTTGCTACCGATTATAGTTGAAAACCCTTACTGCTGTAGCGTCACATAAATTATATATATCGAAAACGTAGAATGATTTTAAAAGCATGTAATTTAATTAAATATTTATGTAAGATTGTTTAACGTTTTCTAATGAACCCTGTTAAATGCATAATTAGGAATTATTTTCGAAGTGTTCGAGTTGCTCTTATAACATGCTATAAATAGTAAGCTATAAAAAGGCTATGAAGAAAGCTATAACAGCATAAGCTATAACAAGCTATAAATAATATGCTGAAGTTTTAAGGTAGTAGATGTTATTGCTTTCTAATTATTTCTACAAGTTATAATTCAATTAAATTTTAAAACGCTTTACTATCAGTTAATACAAGAACAGATGTTGGCCAAATTAAGAGGAGGCTTTTTAGTCATTAGCATTTTGAGGCAGACTGCGTGAAAAATCAATAATTCTGTCCCCAGGATTCCAACTATCTTTGCATTTTGATTTCTAGCCAGATATACTTCTGATTACATCACAAAGACACGTGGCTAGGAAGAAGGATATTCCCTATATTAATAAGAAGAATACTCTCTATATTTTCTTCTATATTTTTATAGTGGAGAACTATCGTCCAACACATTTGATTTCGAGCTCCATTTGTAGTCATCTGGAATTTTTGCAGCAGGAAAAAGGTGAGAGCAGGCTGTGCCTTTTCCGAAAAATTCCTTAAAGTTTCATAATCATCATTGCATCTTTGAAAGAAAGAATCGTTAAGCCAAAAATGTGTTTGATGTACTTGGGAAGCATCATAGATGTAATATAGCCTATCTTAATGTGTTAAGAACGCTTACGTTAAGCTGCAAATCAACAAATCCATTTAACCCATACCCTGTTTTTTTTTTTGTTTTTTTTTTTTGATAAAAATTTTAATAGCCAAGAAAATAATACTGAAAGCCATTAGCAATGCAGTTGCGTAAGCAACATACTGCTATGGTATATAAATGAAATAATATGAAAATGCTGGAAATGGAATGCTGCTACGGTATGAAAGAAAATTGAGATTTAAATGTCTGCAATATTGAACTGCATTAAGAAGGCGTTAATTTCAGACCACAGAAATTGATCTTGCTTTTAGCTTGCATGTCTCGGTAATCAATAAAAGCACTTTGTATCTTCATTCATTTTCCTTGTTTAAATGTGTCTGTATATCCCATACGTGACCCTTATTTTATTACCTTGAAAAATGACCAAGATTCAAAGTATGATACTCAATTTCCATCAATTGTGTGGATGTAGTCATACCATTTTGAAGCATAAAAAAGATACAAAATGGACTTTTTGTGACATATTAGCACCAGACGTGACGTTAGGCTCGAAATTCACTTTTTATCCGTATCATTTATGTGTTCGAATTACGTTTCAAATTGTTGCGACCGAACTAGTCAAAATGTATTTATTTTTTCAAAAATTAAATAATGAAGAAATTGTATAATCTATATGTTTATATGTTCCTCACATTATGGAAAAATGATAGCACCTATAGCCACCAAATTTTTAATTATATATAGTCCTTCAGCCGAACATGGGCACTTTGAAGCTCGAATTTTGAGTTTTGAATTTATTTTCGATTTATTTCATATTTTGTAAAAATTTAACGAATTTTTATTTAACAAACTCAGCGATTTAAAAACGAGAAATGAAAAAAAAAATTTTTTTTGAAAGGATATTTATCTGCCAATTTTAATCCACAAATTAGGCTATTTGAAAGCAATTTGTTGCTATTGTCTCAAAGAGAAAACTAATTATCTCCACGAACCTGCGTAGTACCATTTGGTAATGCGTAAGTTATTTAATTTCCAAATTTAATTTTTCTAGCACTGAGTAGCAAACCAAGCGATTCAAAAGCAAAAAGTGCAGTTCTTAAAAATAGTTTTTTCTGCTTTTAATCTGATAATTTAAATCATGAAATTTCTAATTAGAATTATTAAATACTTTTATGAAATGACGTTCATTAAACTCAGCTGAATTCATTAAAAATCATTATATACTACTATATTATGATTATTCTTTTAGGTGGCTAGCCTCTAAAGCGGCAAATTTTAAAGAAATAATGTAGGGAAATATTAAAAAAAATGTGCGGCAACCTGTAACGCTTTATCGGGAATTCTGATGATATGCTGTTTTTAAATATGTTTTGATTTTGATCTTTAAATTTATGTGCCATATGTGACAAGAAAGCGACGCTGAATAATACAGCTGAAAACACGATAAGTATTGTTTTAGCAGGTGTGAATCCAAGAACAAATCGGTTATAAGGTATTTCTCCCGCTTTCCAAGCGTCCTTCGTAGTGTAATGGTAGCACGCTGGGCCTGTTATTCCAGACGTCCGTGGTTCGATTCCCGGCGAAGGCGTTAATTTTTCATCTCTCCGGCTTCCAAAAATATCCTAATGTCTCTACACGGTAACCTACGTTGCTCAACGAGAGCATAAAAAACCTTAAAAAATCCTATAGGACGACGTTAAAATCTAAACACTTTTAGATTTTTCTTTCTTTTTAAATGTTACTTTGCTTGATTATTATGCAAATAAAAGTTCTCTAGTTAAAATAGAATACATTGAAAAGTAGCGCAAGGGTAATTATGCGGAAACTTCTAACGAAAGAATTTTGTTTTGACCCTGTGCGATAATTGTAATGAACTAATTTGTAATTACAATTTAAGTTATACATTACGAGTTTCCTATAATTTTCAGAAATCTTCCTAATTTTTCCTTTTTAATTTTTATAGAATAAAGGATCTAACTATTCATTAATGTTTCCAGATGCAAATATTTTGGGTACTTTTAGCAGCCAGTGCGTTTGCCATTGCAAGCTGCGATGAAGATGACAATTCTGCGCCACTTTTGGATCCCAGAGACATGGACGGTGTGTAAATTACATATCAACTATTACTTAAATACATAGTTAATTATTGTCTTAATATACATTAAGAGCTGCAGTAAATATTCTTTTTGTTCAATATTCTTATTTGGTTCTAGATGCATTAAACAATATCAGTGTTAAATTAAATATATTTAGGGAGCTTTCTGAATTATTGATTATTTTACAAAAGCTAAGTAAATTAGGCTTAAAAACTGCTTTTTTAAAATATAGTAATGTACGAAACAAACTATAATTTGCTTGTAATCAAACAGGGAGTGCAAATATCTTTCAGCTGTTTCTTCAGAATTTTGCATAATACATCTGTAAAAGCAAATAACTTTTTATTAATGTATTTCTCAAACTATTCATATCGGAACCTATTAATAAATGTTGTTACTCTTGGAATCAATTTTAGAAGGTTCGAAATGTCTATGATGAAGTTTCGTTGACTTATTGTGACTTATCGTTGCATTATAATATATCATGATGTGAGAAATCGCATATTCTGAGAGCTGTTGTTATCTTTGAGGCATAAGATTATTTATTTACTTTTTAAACTATAGCAGCTCATTGCTTACAATTGTAAAACACTATGAGATTAGAATTTATGATGCATGTTTCTTAAGAATTTTTCTTTACTTTATGTAATTGATAATTTACAAGGCAATGAATAGGTAATTTTATAAACAGTCTTTTCATATATGTATAATTATTTTAAGCCTTTCTAAAATCTTTTGCAATCCTCTGCAGATCCAAAACTAATCCATAATTAATAGCATAATCTGACCATATCTAAACATCATTGTTTGATATAAATATATTTTAAAATAAAGTTTGTAATCTGCGTACTGTTCGCAGATCAGCTAAAACATTATCACCCTCCCTATTCTATGAGATGGCTCTTGCCAGATAGCATGTGACAAGATGTAATATTATTGAACGGTTTATCAGAAATAATGAGGTATTAGTTTGTAGATTAGATATGTATGTAATGATGAAGATTATTGATTTCCATCTCCGAGAAAACTAAAACATCAGCGGAAGGGCCCACTTGTTGAATGTTCATGAACTTCCATTTTTCGCACCTATAGAAAATTAAAAAAGAACAGTGAAACTGGGGATATAACTTCGACACGTTGGGGCGTATTTCTAATCAGCAAATACGGACGTAGGAGATTGTTCCGCTTAGTAAAGAAAAATATGCCGCTAGCTGCGAATTACTTGACAGTTTTAGCAATGCAAGTCGAAATACAAGTACATCTGAACACACAGTTCACCTGATTCTACTAAGTATTGGATTCGACACATCCTATATCCCGTATATATCGTGTCTGGATCCTGTACTAGTGTAAAATGTTGCCTAGTTGGACGAATGATAATTTCTTTTTGCATCGTACTCGATGATCGTTTTAGATTAGCCTTGTTCTAGGCGAACACTTGATGGACGCAAAAGCTGCGAAACGTGTACAGGCCAGTGATGGTAGCATTATGCATTAAAGAATGTTCTCACGCCGTGTCTGAAACCGCAGGTTATTTTAGAAAACATTACGACAGATGTGGAATACATAGTGTTTCTTGTGATTTGTTTTACTTATCTGACAATAACATCACAAGAACTGCACGAACTTTATCGTGGTGAGAAGGGCTGCATCTCATTTGTCATTGACATGAGCCGTGGGTGCATTGCAGGTGACGATAGGATTTTGTCCATCTTCGTTCCAACTTTGGAGAAGAATCCCCCCCCAGAGGACGAGTTCAAGGGTTTCCATCTCTTTTTCCCTTCCACCAAACCAATTAAGAGAACAACTTCCGGTTTGCCATGCATTTTAAGTGCTTCATGCCACAGAGAAAGCGTTACAACTAACAATATGCAAGCATTCTCTGAGATTCGAGCTCTGGCCCAGTTGTGCGACAGCTGACAACGCTAACCACTGTACAAATCAGAATGGCGTAGACTAGAGGAAAACCAAATACAAACTTTTGTCTTACTTGCCGGAACAGACTGTAACCAGTACTCAGTAGTTCCTGAAATCATTGCAGCACAATTACCACCTCAGCCAACATTCTTTGACATGAGGTGGTAATTGTGCTGCAGTGATTTCAGGAACAAGCTGATAAATTACATTTGATGTCTTGGCCTCTTACTTAACCGAATGTTAATCCTATTGAGCACTTCTAGGATGTTATGAAACATCAGCTCAAAACTCACCAAGCACTTGTAGTTCTAAGGAACTGCGTGAATGCAATTTCCTCTTCTCAGGGACTTGTAGAATACCTGCATAACATTTTACCTGATTAGCATACCATGTGCGTCATTATTATCTCTAGAAAATTCCTATTATGTATTATAGTAGCTCCAGTTTGAAATGATTTTAAAATACAGTATTTTCACTACGTTTTAGCTATTCAAGACAAATTAGCAAGAATGGACTTTCTAGAACAAATTGTTGGAGAAGTATTTGGTTTCAAGAAAACTGAAGAAAGGTAAGCAAATTAAAGCCTTTCTGTCAATTGAGAGTGTATTTGAGTTATTTCTCTAATATAGTGTGTAGGCAGTTGTAGAGTCATTAGGACTTTTGAGGCAGAAGACGTGAACAATATACAGTGTCCTCGTCCTTTTAAATTCGAACCCTAGACCTCTCAAAGGTGCTTCGAGTATGCTTCTAATTACACCATGAAAGCATGCAAAAAGGAGGAAGGAAATAACTTTTATAGTTATATGACAAGGTAGAAGGAAATGTTTCAGCTATGTCCGTGATTCTTATCGATGTAGAACAGAGAATGTTAATGAATAAACCATTTAAAGTAAATGAGAAATTATATATTATCTATTTCCTACTCGCATTTATTATCGATGTAAGAATGTGAATTATTTGAAAATGACTTACATTTTTGTAATCCACTCACATGTTAGGGGGCAGCAGGATTATGAGCTGAATATTTGAAGGTTTAGCCATGACTTCCTTGCAATATATTCATAACTACTTGATGTTTCGAGATGATTAGTTATTTCGTAATATGTATTTCAAGACTTTCGCAATTAATAAAGAATAACTCTAATATCACATTTTACGAGTCTCAAGAATTTAGTTGTTTGAACCTAGTGGTTCTCAACACTTAATGATGGTTAGAAAGCTTAACGAAAAAGGCCTTGGCCTAGGTTTGAACTACTTTTTAGCGGGATGGCAGCGCTTAAAATACTGTTGAACCCTATAGGTTTGTGGTAGAGGAAACAGTGGAATGAGATCTTCGTATTCGTACCGCCGGGTTGGCTCTCTTATCAAAACTAGGACTGAGACTGGAAAATTCGTACCCAATCTATTAGGCTGCTATCATACATCCGTTTCCTTCGAAAGAACAACTGTTTGGAACAACAATTTTTCTGCTTTGTCACGACAGCCAATTACCCCAGATCGCTTTGGAATTAACACAGGGGTTGGCTGAAAACGAACAACATGCGATTTTTTTTCAAAAGGAAAGAAAAAATCGCGCCTCTTTCTTTCAGTACCATACCAAGCAGAAAAACTGTTCGAAACAGTTATTTGTGTGAACCAAATGCGTGTGTGATATGGGCCTTAGAGGACCAAAGCCTAGATTAATAGTAGGAGCAGCTTTTGTCTCTTTGCCGCGATAAAATTCATGGATTTGATTTAGTTGCGCTTGATAATCACAGAGATTCATCTCAATGTGCTACTCTTTAAATACTTTTGCTCTAATCTGTGTATAATAATATATTATCTGCATAAAAATGATAATAATAACAAAATAAATAAAACCCGAGAAGAATAATAATGCTGGAAAATGTAGACAGCAAAAGTCTGTATTTTCTTTTCAAATTTTTTTGCAATATGATTTAAATATTGAAGACTTTATTTTCTTAGATGTTAAAAGAACTGTAATTATTTTGCTTAGGAAGATAATCACTTTCTAGCATTACTATTAGCATTTAAACGACGTTTGGTATTTACATTTCGGCACTTCTACTGTAACTTTTAATTTTACACATGTGACGTCTCTGTGTTAAGAAGTATTTTTCATTATAAATACAAAAACTTTACATTTTTTGCTGTATTCATAAATTTTAATCTACTGGAAAATATAGAAGCATTATGAGCACTGACGGATTAACCAATAGATAAATGAGACAAATGTTTAAGTCCGATAATTTGGTGAGACTCTGCTGTAGTATAGAGGGCGGAAAGGAATAAATAAAATAATAATATATTTAAACAGAGAATTTAGCAATATCAGATGTATGAGAGTTTGGCAGTTAATTATAGGCTAGCCAATGATATTTCTCGTATATTCTGCCCTTTTTCGTCTGAAATACCCCATGAAATTATAAACAATATGCTTAAAGAGATCTAAATTTAACTAAACTTTGCGATATTTCTCCATGTTTTTGCCACTTTCTAGGAATTTTAAGATTCAGTACTTTTGACTATTCTGCGGCGATATGAAACAAATATTAAAGTGACCTTTAGTGGCGAAAGCATGCATTTACCGAGACATTTACAGCATTTAATTTTGCTTTACGTTTCTGTTCCATTGGCTCAGCTTGACTTTGTTCCTAATCTACAACTTGAACTATTCCACCAGATTAAAAATGTCAGAAACATTTTCTTTTATTCTAGAATATTATTATTTTCCATTTACTATTAATTTCATAATTGTGCCCGAGTGGTTTGTTTTCTTTCTCAGGGAAGACACTTGTCTACCTGTTGGAGCCGAGTGCCATTTCTGGAGTGGGCCCAACTGCTGTGGTTTAAGGACGCGGTGCATTGTCTGGGACACGCAGTTACCTGCAACCAAAACCAAGAGCTCCGCTACTTGGATTTCTAAGTGTCGTGATTACAAACTAGGCGTATGGCTCGATGATATCGGAAGTTGGTTCGCAAGTTTGGGCAAATAGGTAAAGTACAGAGCGATGCATTGACAAAACGACCTTAAATTCCTCTCTTCGTTATGAATAAATAAAATATTAATGCTTGTAATTATGTTCTGTGTTTATTTTGACAAAATTTCAGAGATGATTGTTATTTGCCTGTATATCTTGGGCTACTCTCAAGCTTTGTTACAATTTGAACATATGAGGAAACAGCCATGCAAAACGTGAATTCTGCTCTAATTTATAGACGTCATATTTTCAAGGTGAATATAAATGTCATAAATTTCTTCTTAGTTGAAAATAATACCAAAATACATAATGCAAATCAAGATCTAATTCTGATACCCTCTAGCTATTGAATATCAGCCAGTTCGATAAAGGATAAAAATAATTTGATTTTCTTTTTCATGATGTTAAGTGCAATGCACAGTATAATAGCCTTTTAAAATTACATAATAGTATTTCGTTTTCATTTTTTTACAAGAAAAATTTTTATATTACCAAATTAACACACAGCACCGTTCGTTTAAAAAACATTTAAATTCAAATGATTATGATAATGAAAATTCTTTTTGAGAGCAAATTCCTATATTTATTGAAAGAAATATATTGTTGCGTGCGTACGGGTTCGTAATAGGTTGAATGCACTAGACCGATAAAAAATTAATAAAATTTATTCTTATCACAAGAAATATAATAAAACGCTGAATTGTTCCTCAAAGATTTTTGTACAATATCACAATATTACGCAGTAGTTATATTTTAAACTAATAAAACGTTCAATAGAACGCAATCCAAAGCGCAGGAAAATCTAATCCGATCTCATCGCGATTTCACTACAATCAACAAACAACAGTTATCTAAACAACTGAGCTGATATGTTCTCTCTCTGCTTTTTATATCGAGCGCGCGGGACAGTTCTAGCTATTTTTGGAATGTAAAAACAGTAGAATTGCGGTTACAGCTTACGCACTAGTCAGTTACATTTATTGGAATTAAATATAAATTAAAAGTGATATTTATTTATTAAATGTTAAATGCACGAGCTTCTTGTATTTTAATTTTCCGGCGTAGATCTATCTTAAAATTTGTCACGCAAGTAACAAACAACATAATAACATACAATAATTGCAATAAGTGATATAAAACAAATCAAATGATAAATCAATAAATGAATGCACAAATTTACACATTTGGAAACAAAACGGACCATTGTCTTCTAATATTTACGCTATATAGACTACGCATTATGGACATAGTAAGGAGATAACCTGTCGTAATGAATTAGAATTCGATGACTTATGTATCCGAGCTACGACGTCGTTCAGCTTGATTAGGACTGGGTACGGACGATTCCAAAGTGACTATTGTTTAGGTGGTGTGGTGTGGTGTGGTGTGTGTGATTATGGCAATGCCTCGAGGGCTATCTGCCTAAGTGCTTTGTGGAGCACTTCAAGGAAACTGGCTTGTATACACGTTACACATGGGGAACCACGAAACCCCACCCGTTCCTGGATTCGAACCTCGGACCGACTACCAGCGTTAGCGACCAACCGCTCGGCCGCTGGTGGGCGACTATTGTTAGGACAGAGTCCTTTCCGTCGAGTCGGATTTCCACAACCAAACCTTGTCTCTTTTCGTTGAGTCGATGTTCAGTAGCTCGGATGTCCGTCGCCAAGTTGACTCGCTCTCGTGCAAAATTGTGCTTCACATCTAACTGTGCCTGGGAGATCATGGATATATTCCTGAGGCGATGAAGGCGCATCCGGAGGGTGACCAAACAAGAGATCACAAGACAGACGAATGTCATGAACGATGATTTAGTCGGAGGGAGAATAGACGGTAGTCTCGTGTTTCTCTTCGACACTAGTATGATTTCGAAGCTTTCTGAACAAGGTCTTTCAAAAAAGATGTCTGCGTTTCCAGGTGAGGATCCCTTCTGATGATATATATCTATGTCATCTGATGCTGAAAGCCTTTTGGTGAAGTTCAAGGAAAAATTGTAGTTCCTTAAAACTTCCAATCCGAGTATGCAAGGATCTGTAATATCTGTCATATATGCCTTGTGATAGAAGATGGCACTTGCAAACGCAATGTCACGCGTCGGAATTCCCAGCTTGTCGTTTTATCGCAGACGTAGTATGGACTTAGCGTGTAACACAAATGGCGTTCCAAATAGTTGTCTTAAATTGCTGAGCTAAATATCCGAATGATGGAACATAAGCGTGTCAATGATCATATTGCAAGGGAATTATCGGAATGGCAATGATGGATAGTCCATTTCTGCTGCCACTCACTAGAGAAAAATCGAGAACTTTAAAACGGGTTTTTCATATTTTCAAACTAGGTCCCGATAGTCATAATTTGTCGAATTCAGGGATATTAGCCTGAATCTTTTTCTGATGTGTAGTGCCAAATATCAAGGTCACCCGCAAAAAGAGCCTTATCAGACAGCCTGTCAATTGTCACGATACCGGGGAGACCATTAATAAAGCCACTGAATAACGTAGGACTAGTTAACAGTGTAAGGATCCTAAGTTTTACTAACGTTTATTTTATTTAAAACTGTACTATCATTCTATATTTTCTACTTACGGCCAGAATTAAATGCTTTAATTGTTATGAAAATTGTCTTGCTAAGCCCAATATTTACGTGTGGCTTTTTGCCAAGTAGAGGAGAGAGAGGAGATTTAGGAAGCAAGCCGCTTGCAACTGCAGTTCTACGAGTATTCACTCAGTGTGGTTGCCGTTAGGGCCAGAGGTGGTTTAGCCCTCTGATATTTGTAAAAGTATTGTAGTTTAGCGCTCGGGGGCGTATTACAATGTACCCTTTAAATAAAGGCAATAGTCGCTTGCTAGGCATTTGGTATACTAATTCAAATTAGTTTTAGTAGAGTTTTAGTTAGTGTTTATTCTAAGTTCCAGACCACAAGTGGTTGCGTCTCTGTATCGGAAGTCTAAGTTCGGGAGTTTCCTGGAAGTATGAAAATAAAGGGTTTCGTATACCCTTCCTGCTTGTGTTGTCTACTCCACACATTGTTGAACATAGCTTGAGTAAGCTCCCTGTTCCTATTCTGGACACATCATGTTTCCAAAGCAAACCAAGAGAAACACAAGTCCTGACAAGAGTACCCTAAAGTTAGCCAGTTTCGCTTAAAGCGACACATGGAATCATCAAAACAAGTGGCGCTTAAGCTTGTAAAGAAAGCGCAGAAGAGCTTGGAAAACTCCTAATCCATGAAAACATATTGCTACACAGATAGGGTTTGTAATTTTTGGATACATCTGAATTGACAAATATTATCAAAAGCAGCTTCAACGACCATAAACTCAGCTAGATTGGATCATCTTCGATCAACGGCAATCTTGATAAACTGACTTGGAATTGTAACTTTTTGATTTTTTAACTGACATTTTCTAAATCCAGCCTGCGTTGGGGGTCAAAGGTCATAATTTTCAAGATATCAATTTAGACGAGAAGTGATCATTCTTTCCATGACCTTTTGAGACTCGTCAAAGACATAAGGCGGTAGTTATTTAAATATTCATGTCGTTTACTTTTTATGTATAGGTACAATGACTGCGTTTTTCTAAATCACAGGATATAAAGTTCCAATAACACAGAAAGCACACTGTTATCAAAATGTTCCAGAAATTCCAAATGGAATTTATCAGGTCCAGGACTCCTGGACTAAATAAACTTACCAGAGTATTGGAGAAAGAATCTAGAAAATGCCTCCATCAAATATATATTTTTCTCTCAAATTTTTCAGGCTTCGAGCAACCAGTCGCTATATGGCTTAAAAAAGCAGAATATTTTTACTTAAATGAAAAACAGTGCAAATGTTCTTTCGTTCTCTTCGATTATCGTCAATGTGTAACACGCCTGGTATATGATTCCTAATTCTTTTAAATTCAGGTGGATAAGTGATGAAGACGAAGGAAATTAACCATTTCTGCCAACTCTTCTGCAGTTGCGTATGGATTTCATTCAATTGTAGAATTCAGCGCATCATTATCAGATAAAAAGGGCAGTCATAGCATATCGAAACCATGATTGGCACTCATCGATATTCATAATATCTTTACCATCTACCATTTTCTTAACCTGTTTATCATTTCATCTTTACCATTTACACATTTAAGTTTTTTATGCAATTGCATCATTTAAGTGTTCCTTATACTTTTGTGTAACAATAATTTTATGAGGGACTTTTAAAAGCAACAGTTTAACATTCATATGCTTTAAAGCTAGAATTTGCTTGAATGTGTTGGTCTTTTCTAAGTGATCATTAGACGCTCCTCAAAAATCACTTATTTGAACCTGTTAGAAAAGGTTTTTAATAAATTCTGTATGGTAAATGGCATTAATTATGGCATGACCTCACTATTTGATTTTAAAACAATACAACTAACTAGACTCTGATGCAGTGAACTATGGGAGTAAAAGAAGTAGAGCGAGATAAGAAGGTAAAATTGTAAACCCTTTATTCTCCAACTTCTTATTTTGATGTGCTAACAATAAACTTCGTCCATGTTATGGCTTCTAAACTGAAGAAACATTTGGACGCTTCGTTGGATATTATTAATCATCAGGCACCATATTTCATACATGGAAGAGTTTAGAATTTACTACAGATTCAATTTCAGAGGAAATAAGCTCGCATTTGATGGAAAGCTATTTTCACAGCTTTGTTTGACAAATGAGTAAACTGCTAAGTTTCCGAACGCAATATGGAAAGGTATTTATAGGAAAGTGAATGATTTGGATATGCATTTATGTATACGGCTGAAAACATTTCCGATAGCTTTATCTGTTACATTTTATTAAATTAATGCAGCTTTTACTGTTAAAAAATTTAGAAATCATTATTGCCTCAGGTATAAGCAATTTTATACACTTCATTTTTTATATCGGTATTACAAATTACTAAATTTCTGATTAATGTAATAGGCAATAATTCTGAAATAAACAATAAAATAAGTCTTTAATCTGAGGCTGCTCAGCCACTGAAAACTGGTTGTAGAACGCTTTCAGTGTCAATAACAGTACAAGGTGTTTTGCTGCTTCCTTTCAGCATGCCTTCAGGGTGTAACGGTATTCGA